CTGAAAGTGCCCGATAGACACCACTCTAGTCCCCGTGTTGCTACGGCACATCTACCGCGCGGCGCATTTTAGGGAAACGTCCGTTAGGAGAGCAGAACACACGTGCATAAACCAGAGTTCATTTTGTTCCTAGTTCCTCAGAGGCGGAACACTGTAATTTTTCTTAACTTATTTCAGTGCTATCGCTGCACTTGGTGAAGGAGAGCGGATGCTGGGGAGTGAGGGGTAAATGTGTTTGTTCGGTACTAGTCTAGTTGAAAATCCCTTCACTCTAGGATACAAAGTCTCTAATTCATTGTGCTGTGTCGAAATTTAAGGCATTGTCTGTGAGCCCACTATCTGTTTCCGTACTCAAATTTCAATCATCATCAAAAGGATAAAAGTTTACTTTAGGGAGTATAACGGCATGGGTTAGTTACGCTGTCCTGGTTCCAAGTGTAAATGCAATATGGACATTGAAAGGAAAGTAAGTCGGAGTGAGATGCTGAAATCGTTAGTGGGAAAGTAGCCGAGGCTGAAATGGAAAAGACAACCTGATGTATGACAAAGGAGGCCTAGAACCCCAGAAAAAAACCTGGCGGGATAGCAATGCCCCAAACATAACAATGAACCTGACCACAACCTCAAAAGTAGACTTAATCTCTAACGTAATTATCAACCTGACACTAACCCTAAACTTAACAGTAGACCTAGTCCTAAACTAACCAAAAACCGTAGCCCTAACCCAACCTTAACCCTGACCTAAATCTTAACCCTAACCTTAACCCTAATTCAAACCATAAATCCAAGCCTAACCGTAGCCCTCACCTTAACGTTTAGCGTAACCCTACCCTAACCCTAACATTAAATCCAACCTCAACACTAAATCTAAATCGCAATCCAAACCCTAACTCTAACCCAAATCCTTCAACTTAACACAAACCCCAACCCCGAACGCAATTCTCAGCCTGACAGTAATCCAAACCCTAGAACTGACCTTGCCTCAAAACCGAAACATCAAATAGCCCTTTTCCGTCTTGGCTTTGGCTACTTTTCCACTGCCGACTTCAGCATCCTCCTTCGGCTTGCTTTACTTACAGTGCCTACATTGCACTTGCACTTGGGACTAGGACAGCGTAGCCGACCCCCTCCTGCTGACATACATGGGCTGTGCTAATCTCGTATCAGGCAGATGCCGCTTGAAGGAGGACGGCAAGTCGTATAATCAAAATCCTACTGTAGAAACGGTAGATGAGGGGTCCGCCGCTATCGCCATTGCCTTCGCAGGAAATGGAGACACGGGTGTCCGCGCTGATTGGCCCGGTGACATTCAGGTGACACTCTCCCAGCAGCGGAGGTTCGGCCAGACAGAAAACACGACACACTCTGGGCCGACTGGGCAAACCCACT